AATTGAAATTAAATAATTGTAAATAATTGTCTTTACAATCAATTATTAATAGTTTTGTCTCAAAATATAATTTTTTACTTTTCACAACCAAAAAATAATTTGTTTTTATTTATTAAATCAAAATTTCAAATTTGAATAGAAGAAATAGGAACAGTTAAATTTTGTTTTGAAACTTTGTCTCTTTCTGTTATAACAAGTGTTTGATATTACTGATATTGATATATACTTTTTCTATCTTGTTTATTATTGCAATTATATAATTCATTATATTGAATATATATAAGAATTTGAGAGAAAAAATAATTAGTTATAAAATATGTGAATCAAGTAACTGAGATTATTTATTTGAAATTTACTACTCAATTCTTAATATCTTATATTAGATAACTATAAGTTTTTTTCAAACTTGAAAGAAAAAAGAATACAATAATATGAATAAGATTATATTTTTAAAATATAAATATAATTTTAAGGCTAAAATGGACTTATTTACTACTTTATATAAAAAAGAATTAAAAAATAAATTTTGGCAATTATATAATTATTGTTTAAATAATATTATCTAGTTAAGTGGTAATTTTTAAAACTAAAAGATTGCTATATTTAATTATTTATTTATCTCAAATAAGAGAATTTTTGTTACTTCTTACAAAAAAAAATTCAAATAAAAAATTAATATTTCAATATTTTACTTTTTTCCAATAATTGCCTAAAGTCAAAAAAATTGAATAATATTGTTATACTTGATTTTTTCTCAAGATCTTCATTATCTATTGTCTAATTTTCACTAGCATTTACTCTTGAATTATTGTTTATTCTAGAATATTCTTTGTATTACTACTCTTGTTATTGTTTAGCACTATACTTTTCGAACTATTGTTGCTCTGGAATATTTCCTCTTTTGTTTATTTATTCTTATTCTTTTATTTTTATCTGAGTATTTGTTTTTATGCTAACATCTATAAATAGTTATTTTAACAAATATATTATTTCTATTATATCTCTATTATTTTATATAACTTATATTTATTATTTACCAAAATATTATAACTTAAACATATATATAACGCTTTTAATTTCACCTAAAAATTAACAAGATTAAGCTTTTATTTTAATGAATAAATATATTGATCTTTATTAAAACAAATTATTAATGTCTTATAAATCTCAAAACTATATTAATTTGATATATCTTATAAACTTTAGCATATCACATTAGTTTTTTCAAATAAAGTATCTTCTTACTACTAGTTCTTTGTCTTTATCTTTCTTCTGGAGTAGAAATGATATATATAATAAAACAAATTATATATATCTGGATATAAACTCATGAATAGATTATATAAAAAGATTTTTTTTTATAAATTTTATTGAAATAAAGTTTTAAATAAATGCTTTCAATATAAAAGATAAATAAATCACAGAAATTGTGAGTTTATAAATTTAATATATAAATAGATAAGATAAGTAATTATATTATAAAATATATAATAATTAATAACTATTTATATATTGTGTGTCTTTGATTAAAATATAGTTTTAAGTAAGTAAATAATAAAGCTTAAGTGATTATATTGTAAAATACAATGAATATGTGATAATATATTTTGAATAGTATTGATAAAAACAACTTATATTAAAATTTTTTAGGTTATTAAAGTAAAATCTATATACTAAATTTTCAGATGTTCCATGCATCAAGCTCGATTACGTAGTTGTCCAATGACTAACAGTCTATCATCCAATGACAGTCCATAGTTCAATGACTGACAGTCTAACATTTGAGTGACCTAAAAATCAACGATTTGTTTTTTTATAAATAGACTTATGTGTCGAGCTTTATTACACAATTACGTAATTGTTCAATGAATTATGTATACGTAACAAGAGCGAAAATAAACTTTAAAATTTATATGCAGAGCTTTATTAGGCAATCGTTAATGATATATAAAAAAATAAATTACGTTCGACGAATTACGTGTGAGTCATCATCAGCAAGCAAATAAACTATATCTTAAAATTTACGTAAAGTAACCAAAATCGACGAATTGTGTATGCCATCTTTTATGGACTTACGTGTCGAGCTTCATTATGCAATCGTTTAATGACAGTCAGATATCTACAAAAAATAAACCATTAATTATTAACATATATATATAATAAATTCCACTTTTCAAAAAAATAAATCACTATCTTGCGCACATGTTTCTTTTTCATTATATTATAAAACTGATATTTATAATTGCAGGATTGATATTTTTAATATAATATAAAAAACAACTAATTTTATAATGAAAAATCCTGAAACAATAAAGGCACGTCGTAATAATTTAGCTAGAGAACGCTATGCAAGACAGACGACACAAAACACAGAATTTGTAGCTGGGGATACAGAAAGTTCACATGATCGCAGAAATTGGCTTGCAAGAGAATCCCGAGTGCTCTGTAATTCTACTCTCACAAATGTACAAGAACGAAATGCTTATATATAATGGACAGCAACTGAAACTACAGAACATGCTGAAAAACGAAAAGCCAAATGTAGAAAAGTAAATCAACATGCTTCTAATAAAGCTCACAGGGAACAATATAACAGTAACATTGTAATATTGCATGACTTGAGTGTTATGAATATTGAATGCATACAATGTGGTGCCTTATATTAGAAAGATGAATGGGTTTCTGGAACAATTCAAACACCAATTTTTAGTACATGCTGTACAAAAGGTAAAGTTCATTTGCCACCATTAGCTCCAACTCCTCCAAGTCTACTTGCTTTATTAACTAAAAATAATGCATGTGCACGTGACTTTCGAAAAAAATTTGAATATATAACTCAGTCCTTGCATTTATATCAATGGGTGCTAAAATCGATAAGTGAGTAGTAGCAACCAGTGGTATATACACCTTTTGTATTTATGGAGAAATGTACCATCAGATAGATACACTTTTACCCGAAAATCAAACTAATCCATTATTTTATCAAATCTATATGTATGATATGGATGAACAGCAAAGATATAGACAACACCTTATGCCTGATTTAGACAGTTCTACACTTTCTGAGCTTCAAGCAATGCTTCACGAGGTAAATTCATATGTACATGTTTTTTGACAAGCCGCACAGATGTTACAGAAGAATTCAGTACAAGATTTAAAAATAAAAATTATTAAGTCACGTGAAAATGCCAGTACACCACGCCTACTGCATCAGAAGTTGCTGTGCTCATGGTTGGAAGCGGTCAAGAGTCAGAATGTTTGAATCGTGATATCATTCTATGCAAACAAGGAAGCAGTTTACAGTGAATTTCTCAGATCCATCCTGCTTACAGTCTGTTACATTATGTATTGCTTTTTCTGCATAGTGAACCTGGATGGCATCCTAATATCCCTATACGCAATATACTGTATGATCAAATAAGTAACAATATGATATCCCATGAACAAACAAGTGACAATATAAACATTTTCGAAAACTACGAAGAGGATGAAAACTCCCGACATGTAACAATAATGAATTATTATGCTTACCATTTGCAAATACGTAGAGATACACCTCTAGAATCATTTGCATTGCATAGGGCTGGCCGATTGTTTCAACAGTATATAGTAGATGCCTATGCATGTATTGAACAGAGTCGACTTAACTATTTTAGGCTAAATCAGAAACAAATCTGGGCTGAATTATATAATGGATTACAAGACACACTTACAGTCAATAATGAGCTT